GTCCTAACAAGAGCAAAGCCAAAAGCAGAATGAGAAAGTCTGTCACTTCCCAAAATGGCGGACTCATCAACGCGACGGATATGCGCGAACTTCTCCCGCCAAGCGAAGTGACATTGCTGGGTGTTACCTATGCTGTGGTGATGTATGAAGTTGTATGCGGAAAATTTGTCTTGAATCTCGATTGGCGAGATATTTTGACTAGAGTGGAGATGCGCGACAAAGATATCTAAGCAAATTGCCCCGTACAAAAAAAGTAGAGATTGTTTTTGACAATAACCAAAATACTTACCTTCAGCCACGACATTGAGGGTGAAGCAATACAATCGGAGCACTGATAGGCATTAACACCTATATCTTTATCAAGGCTTGGGCTGGATATTTCCGGTTCATCAATAGCTTGAACTATGGTGGTTGTGTATGTGTTCACCGCAAAGAAGTCGTTCGTTCCTTTGATGTAGGCGATTTCTTCCTGCGTTAACTCTGGCAGTCGAGATTCATTGAATCCCTCTAGCTTGCTTCTTAAAAAGTTTAGCTGAACAGCAAAATTTCCACATTAAGACCACATTTTCCTTCAAAATTTAATTTTTTTTAGATTGTGGAAGACAAAAATTACCAAAACGATCAACAAACCCATTTCTTTTATATCTAAGGGAAAGTACAGACACAGTAAATATATAAAAATCATTTATTTCGCTACTTTGGCGCCCCGTAAGCATCAGGCATCCTCTCGATAGTATACCTGTGTTGCGACACATACATAATCGGCACCCCCGGAATTTTCCGGATCCGCCTTTTCAAGTCTTTATCGTTTGTTGCCACTATGTAACACTTATGTTGTGTGACACGTTGCACCAGGCAATCGTCAGCGTACGTTCCCTGGTGCATACATCGGATTCGTTCGAAGCGGGGGTCTTTGACTATTTTCAGAGCTACCCTGTACTTTTGGCCGAGTTTCTCCAGTTCCCCTAAGACACAGTCCGTGATGTATGGAATGCATTTGGCGTAGAGGCAGTCCATCATGTTCTCAATGATGTCCAGCTTGTTTTTCACAGAGAAGTTGACAAAATTGGTGTCGACGAGTATATGGTAGGGGGGGCCCAACTGGGTGTTATACTGACGGAACAATGCCGAGCTGATTTGAGGAACTTCGTTCACTTTCATCTGATGAGGGTCTTCGGGTTTTTTCTTCTTCGGGGGTTGTCTGAGGGACTCCTTTATCCGTGGGTCACTCAAACTGATCATTTTCTTCATTTTGGCGTAGCGCCTTTCTACTATTTTACGAGTTTTCTTCGTTTTACCCT